GATCCACAAAGATGGCACTATATGTGGTGGAGTAGATACAGGTAACTACAGCCAAGGTTACTGGTGTTCATATACTGAATCACATAAACAAAATCACTGCAAATGTCATCAACCTTTCTGTTGCCATGAGGTTTCTTTCTGACAGATTAACGCCCCCACAAAATGAGATTTTAATGAGTAGCCATTACATTTTGACAATAGTAACAGACTAGATGGCAAGGAAGGGTAAGGAAATGGCAAGGCTGTGGAAAAGGAGGGAAGGATTATGCTGCATTAAGTCTGCTCCAGCAAAAGTGCTTAACTGATGCCATGTTATTACTGATAACCACTGAAAATTATTGTCATACTTTGAAGATGGTGTCTATAGTACTAACACTAATAAAACTTGGGTGAGTGCTTCAGAAAGCGGAACATGTAAAAAAAAAAAAAAAAAAAAAAAAAAAAAAAGAGTGATGTACTGATGAGTGATTTATCTGTTTGAGATCATGTATTAAGTTGTAGCTAAAGCAGCAGAGCTAAGCTCATATTGCTCTATATATGACCAATAGACACAATGTGCAACACTTAGGTATAATTATTGATGAAACATTTTGAGGGCTTCATCAGTGTACTACAAATATGATTATAGTGAAGATAGTAGAAGTGGAGACAAAATTTTGAGGTGATCAGTCCCTCAGCCTTGATACAAGGTGTTCAGTCTCTTAGACTGAGGCCAGGAGACTGACAAAGAAGATAGTGTTGGAATTATCAGGGAAACGTAGATCCAGCTATTTGGCTGACTTAACAGAGTTTGGAGAGTATCTTAATAAAAAGTCAATTGAAAGAGTTGGGGGTTATGAATGTTGTCATGACTAATGACTTGGAAAACATGGTAAACCCACTCGAGAAACATTACTTTCCAGATGGTGGTGGTTGCAGGTGTCGCAAAATAAGACAGTGTAGTGTCAAACGTTGATTTGGAAGCCAATATGCATAGGGCAAAAGTTTTAGTACCTGACAGAAAGACGTGAAGGGTGGAGTCAATGCGAGCTGTGCTGTGCTAGTCCTTGCCACAGGTGGCAGTACTGCAGTGTGTGAGCAAGGGCCACCTACAGGAATGAGTGAGTTGCCAGAGAGGATGCTGCAGAGCAGGAAGAGTGCCAGGGAGACCTGGGTATCTGCCTTTTCAGTGACTGTCTCTCTGTTGGGGGAGAGGATGTGTTACAACTAGGGCTGGCTCTACCCATAGACTTATAAGGCCTTTTACCCTGTATATTTTTGGGCCCTAATTTATCAAAGGGCAGAGAAGTGAGCCTGGAGCCATAGAAATTTTTTTGTCTATTTATGCTTAGTAAATGCATTGCCCAAACTGGAGTTTTTTGATGCGGGCCTTTAGTTATAGAATGAAACATTTCTTTTACTTTTACACTGCCTATGAAGTTTTTTTCTCATGCTGTACTAATATTATGAACTCAAGTGAATGAATAATTATGCCACAACTCTTTAGTTCTTTAGCAACAGATTGGCACATTAAAGAAATGTGTCGCATATGGATTGGATTGTTTTACCCTGCATGATGACAGGCTAATTTCTCTTATTGTTTAATGGTGAAATGTTAGTGTGGAATGCCCATGAAAATTAGTTTAAGCACCATATATGTGAGTGTGTATTTCTGATGTCATTAAGTGTTGTGAGTTACCACTCCCTACCACATCATATTCACTGGGTACCTACCAGTATCACCACAAAATATGCTGCCTCCCTCCCTCCTCCACAGCATGCACAAGGTAGCCACTACCATCACAAGCTATACTGCTTCCCTCCCTCCACAGAATGCACCAGGCAGCCACTACCATCCCAAGCCTTGCTGTTTACCTCCCTCCTCCACAGAATGCACCAAGCAGCCACTACCATCCCAAGCCATGCTGCCTCCCTTCCTCCTCCACAGCATGCACATGGCAGCTACTACCATCCCAAGCCATGCTGCCTACCTCCCTCCTTCACAGCATGCACCAAGCAGCCACTACCATCCCAAGCCATGCTGCCTACCTCCCTCCTTCACAGCATGCACCAAGCAGCCACTACCATCCCAAGCCATGCTGCCTACCTCCTCCTTCACAGCATGCACCAAGCAGCCACTACCATCCCAAGCCATGCTGCCTACCTCCCCTTCACAGCATGCACCAAGCAGCCACTACCATCCCAAGCCATGCTGCCTACCTCCCTCCCTCCACAGCATGCACCAAGCAGCCACTACCATCCCAAGCCATGCTGCCTACCTCCCTCCTTCACAGCATGCACCAAGCAGCCACTACCATCCCAAGCCATGCTGCCTACCTCCCACTCACTGTGTCCAGACTGAAATTTCTGCTATAATAGCTCACATAATATGACTGAGTAAGCAATTGTGGGTTGATGGCTTTTGCCAAATTATTCACCAGTAAAAAGGTACAGTATGAAAGGTAATTCACTGGGTAAACATGCTCTTCTTACTTAAGTGGACCATGTTTTTCATTTATATTATGGGTTTCTATGTGAAAATAGAGCTTCTGTAACAAATGCCTGAGTTACCAACTATTTCAGTTCATTACTTGGAGCCTCCTCTATTATCTCTTTCTTTGTTCTCATCTTCTCTTGATGTGAATCATGAAAGAGAGAGAGTGAGCAAGAGAGTGAGCTAGAGTGAGAGAGCAAGCAAGAGAGCAAGAGAGAGTGAGAGAACATGAGACAAAAAAAGTGGGAGAAAAAGAGAGAGAGAGGGAGCTATTTTTATGACATTGACGATTCCAACAGAACGAGATGAAGCATCTACACACACAACTTGGCTGTGGGAAAGAGGAAACTGGTTGGCTTTTTGCTCTGAGCTTGCCACCTTTGACTGGAATGCTCTTCTCAAAGGTGATGTTGACAACCAAGCGAATACATATCATTACTGAATACATCCTTAATCTCCAGCAAGAACACATCCCTCATCAGCAGTATGTGACGAAGCTTACAAATCAGTCTTGGTTTGGCTCTCACTGCAGAGAGGCTGCTACTGCTACATACAAGGCTTGGAGAAAGTATAAGAAGCATCCCACTTTCTATAATAGGAACCTGCATAGGCAACCCTGTTAAAAAAGGGAAAAGTCCAAAAGTGGGCCCTTTCTAGAGGGAAGGCTGACACAAAAAGAAAGATGACATCAGATAGAGTGGGTCCAAAAACCCCAGGTCAAGGGTGACAAGGTTACTTGCTTGACGAAATTATTCCATTTCCCTAAATCGAAAGGATGGGGACCCTCTCTACTAGCAGTTAAGAGAAGGCTGACCTCTTTCCCAAAATTTCCCTTTGCTGCCAAGATGCAAGTTCTTGATCCAACAAGGGAAACATCCTTGGATAGCTGCAAAAGCTGTGTCAAAGTTGTCAGGGGTGAAAATTTAAGGCGGGATAAAGAGTATTTTCTTAAATCACTGGACTGGGGGGCCCAGATAAGGTGAGCCCATGTTGCTGATCTCAGACCACCTAGTGTCATTCACTAACTCACATCTACAAGTGCTATCAACAAAGTGTACATAGCCTTTCCCTATGGAGAGAGACAAGTGCAAGAAAAGTGGAAATCAGCAACTAGAGCCAGTGCAACTCCTGTCAATCACTGGCAAGATTCTTGAGACGATAATCTCATGGCAAATGACTGTTTTTGACTATCGATCGTTTCTTTGTGACTGTCAACATAGCTTCAGGAAAGGTTACTTGCTGCTGATCTGTTGTTAAACCTCTCTACTATGTGGCACCATCAATGAATGAATCCAAAGTCAGCTGTGTAGTAGCACTGGACGTTGCGGCTCTATATTATACCTCCTCAAGTGATTACCATCAAGGTAGATCTCTAAGACCAGTTCTCAATGAGAGTCACACAAGACACTCTATTGGTGCAAGTGATTCACAGGGAAGTGTGTTTGGGGCCCACTGTTATAGAATGACTAGTTCAATTCATCCCAGAATCCCATGCATATGCAAATAATTGTACTCTAACATTTACTTATCCAAGAGAAGAAATGCCAGCTGCTCTAAGCTACATCAATCACCAGCTTACAGCTATATCAGCCTGGGGAAAACTATGGCAGGTCACTTTTGCTCCTGAGAAAACACAAATGATGATGGTCTCTACACACCATGATGGTAATGCTGTTGCAGTGGTAAGAATAAATGGGAGAGTGTTGGTACCCAGAGACAAAGTTGATATCCTTGGGTCGAAATCTGACTCCAAACTAACCATGAAGAAAACCACATTGTAAATCTTGCAAACAAAGCTACCAGGAAGCTTACAGCACATCCATGTACCTCACATCTATTTGACAGTAGGGGTTTTGCAAGATTCTGTACAGGGCACAAGTATGCTCCACTTTCTTGGATTGCCTGCCCTCTATCTCATCTGTGATTTCTTGATAGAACAGAGAACAGAGCGAGATGCCCTCTCTCACATGGACCCAACCTGGACAGATCTGTCAATTCAGCAATGCCTTCAACATCAGAGGAATGTGGGTGGCATTACTGTTATGTACAAAGCTAATATTGTCAAAGTAAGACACTTGGCTTCACTCCAAGGGCAGCGAGGAGTGAGTTTCTACACAACGAGCAGCAACTACACTCTGACTGTAACCTTCTCCAGAACATCACTTCATCTGAGATCACTTATTCCTAAGATGACTCAAGTCTGGAACATGTTTGTACAGCATAATGATATCAATGAAATAAAATTAGTTGATCAAACGAAATTGCTGGCCCACAGACGGCTTCAACTTCACCCGTTCCCTACTTGTATGTCTCATAACAATAAAATGACTTTAAAATGAATGGATGTAGGCAAATAAAATTAGGAATCTTAACCTAACCTTGTAGAACTGTGTAGAGACAGAGAGAGAGAGAGAGATAGAAAGGGAGAAGAGGGAGGGAGGTGAGAAAGGGGGAAGAGGGAGGGAGGTGAGAGAGAGAGAAAAAGAGTACCACTGGGTTATTTTATAAAAGTGAAGAATAAACCTACCTAGCATGAACATGCTGCACATTAGCACACACAGAAGAATCCTCAAATACTGGGTTGTCCATTGAATAAGAGGGAGGTGGAGATTTACTTTTCTTTTTACTGCTACTTGTGAACTTGCGCATGAGGCTCATGCCGCCACCACCACCACCACCACCACGGTCTTTTGCACTTCTCTGTGAATGAAGAGGAACAGTAATGAATTTACAACAGCCATCATCATCAACTTGTTCACAACTCTAAACATGAATTTGGGATATTGGCAGTTTGGAGGGATATGTTGTGTATCTTTATATGTGTATGCTTCTAAACTGTTGTATTCTGAGCACCTCTGCAAAAACAGTGATAAAAGTGCGAGTGTGGTGAAAGTGTTGAATGATGATGAAAGTATTTTCTTTTTGGGGATTTTTTTCTTTTTTGGGTCACCCTGCCTCAGTGGGAGAAAGGCCGACTTGTTGAAAAAAAAATAAAAAAAAAATAAATTTAGTAGAATGAAAGAGGGTAAAGCAGCTGGAACTGATGGGATCATGACAGAAATGTTAAAAGCAGGGGGATATAGTGATGGAGTGGTTGGTATTTTTGTTTAATAAATGTATGAAAGAGGGGAAGGTACCTAGGGATTGGCGGAGAGCATGTATAGTCCCTTTATATAAAGGGAAAGGGGACAAAAAGATTGTAAAACTTATAGAGGAATAAGTTTACTGAGTATACCAGGAAAAGTGTACAGTATAGAGTTATAATTGAAAGAATTAGAGGTAAGACAGAATGTAGGATTGCGGATGAGCAAGGTTTTCAGAGTGGGTAGGGGGTGTTAGATCAAGTGTTTACATTGAAGCATATATGTGAACAGTATTTAGATAAAGGTAGGGAAGTTTTTATTGCATTTATGGATTTAGAAAAGGCATATGATAGAGTGGATAGGGGAGCAATGTGGCAGATGTTGCAAGTATATGGAATAGGTGGTAAGTTACTAAATGCTATAAAGAGTTTTTATGAGGATAGCGAGGCTCAGGTTAGGGTGTGTAGAAGAGAGGGAGAATACTTCCTAGTAAAAGTAGGTCTTAGACAGGGATGTGTAATGTCACCATGGTTATTTAATATATTTAGATGGGGTTGTAAAAGAAGTAAATGCTAGGGTTTCGGGAGAGGGGTGGGATTAAATTATGGGGAATTAAATACAAAATGGGAATTGACACAGTTGCTTTTTGCTTATGATACTGTGCTTTTGGGAAATTCTAAAGAAAAATTGCAAAGGTTAGTGGATGAGTTTGGGAGTGTGTGTAAAGGTAGAAAGTTGAAAGTGAACATAGAAAAGAGTAAGGTGATGAGGGTATCAAATGATTTAAATAAAGAAAAATTGGATATCAAATTGAGGAGGAGTATGGAAGAAGTGAATGTTTTCAGATACTTGGGAGTTGATGTGTAGGCGGATGGATTTATGAAGGATGAGGTTAATCATAGAATTGATGACGGAAAAAAGGTGAGTGGTGCGTTGAGGTATACGTGGAGACAAAAAACGTTATCTATGGAGGCAAAGAAGGGAATGTATGAAAGTATAGTAGTACCAACACTCTTATATGGGTGTGAAGCTTGGGTTGTGAATGCAGCAGTGATGAGGCGGTTGGAGGCAGTGGAGATGTCCTGTCTAAGGGCAATGTGTGGTGTAAATATTATGCAAAAAATTCAGTGTGTGGAAATTAGGAGGTGTGGAGTTAATAAAAGTATTAGTCAGAGGGCTAAACAGGGGTTGTTGAGGTGGTTTGGTCATTTAGAGAGAATGGATCAAAGCAGAATGACATGGAGAGCGTATAAATCTGTAGGGGAAGGAAGGCGGGGTAGGAGTCGTCCTCGAAAAGGTTGGAAGGGGTAAAGAAGGTTTTGTGGGCGAGGGGCTTGGACTTCCAGCAGGCGTGCATGAGCGTGTTCAATAGGAGTGAATGGAGACGAATGGTATTTAGGACCTGACGATCTGTTGGAGTGTGAGCAGGGTAATATTTAGTGAAGGGATTCAGGGAAACCGGTTATTTTTATATAGCCGGACTTGAGTCCTGGAAATGGGAAGTACAATGCCTGCACTCTAAAGGAGGAGTTCGGGGTAGTAGCAGTTTGGAGGGATATGTTGTGTATCTTTATACATATATGCTTCTAAACTGTTGTGTTCTGAGCACCTCTGCAAAAACAGTGATTATGTGTGAGTGTGGTGAAAGTGTTGAATGATGATGAAAGTATTTTCTTTTTGGGGATTTCTTTCTTTTTGGGTCACCCTGCCTTGGTGGGAGAAGGCCGACTTGTTAAAAAAGAAAAAAAAATTAGTACAGTGGACCCTCTGATAATGCCTTTAAACCATTCCAGAGAGCTAGGCTTTAACTGATTTAGCCTATAACCAAATTAATTTTCCCCATAAGAAATAATGGAAATCCAATTAATCCGTTCCAGACACCCAAAAATATTAAACAAATTTTTTTTACAGGAAATATACATTTCTCTACACAGAAAACAATGATACATGCACAATAAAACAATAATAACATCACACTTACCCTTATTGTGACTTGTTGATGAGTGATGAGAAGGTAGGAGGGCAGAGGATGTAGGTGTTCTATTGTTTGGAAGGGGAATCGTCCCTTTCCCTAAAGACTTCAGGTAACAAGTCCTTTTTTGGGTTACCTCCCTTCTTTTTTTATATTGCCACTAGGACCAGCTTGAGAGTCACTGGACCCCTGTCGTGCAAAATATCTGTCCAGAGAGCTCTGTTTCTCGCGTCCCTTTAAGATTTCCCTAAAATGGGCCACAACAGTATCATTGTACAAGTTGCCAATACGGCTGGCAACAGCTGTGTCAGGATAATATTCATCCATAAACGCTTTCAAGTTTGTAAACATTGTACACATTTCCTTCATCTTTGACGAAGGCAACTTCCTCCATCTCTCTTCCTCCTCCTCTGAAGGAAATCCCTGAGCTTTGGTCTGTTGCTGTTGTACCTGAAGCTCTTGCAGCTCTGTAGTGGTTAGCTCTTCACCGTCGTCGTCCACCAATGCTTCCACATCCTTGCCACTAACCTCCAATCCCATGGACTTCCCAAGTGCCACAACATATTCTACAACTGGCACAGGCTCCTTAGGGTTAGCCCCAAACTCTTCAAAATCCCTCTCTAGTACACATTCTAGCCACAATTTTCTCCAAGCAGAGTTCAAAGTCCTGCAAGTCACTCACTCCCAAGCCTTACCTATAAGGTTTATGCAACTGAGGATACTGAAGTGATCTTTCCAAAACTCTCTTAGGGTCAATTCAGTGTCTGAGGTCACTTCAAAGTACTTTTGAAACACTGCTTTGGTGTACAGTTTTTTGAAATTCTGTAATGACCTGCTGGTCCATGGGGGTGGAGGAGAGGATGGTATTAGGAGGCAAAAACTTCACTTTGAAGAAGCTCAACTCCCCCAATTTGCTCTAGCGAGTTGTGAGGATGAGCAGGAGCTTTTGTCCATTACCAGGAAGCACTTGAATTCCAATTTCTTTTCCGGGAGGTATTGTTTCACAGTGGGGCCAAACACATCATAGAACCATGCTAAGTAATTAGTTTATTTTATTGTTTTAAATTTGGTATTTAATTTTTTACTTTACTTTTCATGCTGTTAGTACTGTATTTTATACTGAAAGATTTAGGAGAAACCTTTTGTAAAACACAAATAGTTGTTTATTTCCAAGAACATTTGCATACAAAACATGGTCATAAGTCAAAGTGATCGTATGTTGAGCAGGTTGAAAGTCGGATGGTAGGTGTATTGTCTAGAAATATATACATAGTATTTATAGGTCCCGCATTGTTTTGGATACGCGGTAGTATATGTAATAATAAATTTACTTGAAGCATGGTGTAAGATGAATGTTCCCAAACTGCTGACAGTGCAGCAGTGGTGACATTTGATAAGCGTCCCACTGCATTGGTTTTAAATTTTTCACTGTCTGTCTGTCTAGCTCCCCTGTCTATCTGTCTCTGCTTATCTGTCTTTCTGTCTCTCTGTCTCAGAGAGAGCCACTCTTGAACTGATTCTTGAACAAGCAAAAAATAGTGAAAATACATATTACAGCCTCTTCTCATTTAAAATGACGGAGTTAGGGGCCTAAGACTCCATTGGTAAACGAATTCGTCATAAATCGAGCAATCTCCCCTTACTGTAATGGTCGTGGTCTCTTTTTTTTTTTATCCCTCACCCGCTCTCCACCCTTCAACACCTCTCTATGTAATGTCAGTTTTTATTAATTTAGGCATCTTTATCATGATTCTACATTATTTATGTTATACCTAATATTCTAGAATATTAGCAGTTTGGAGGGATATGTTTTTGTATTTTTATACGTATATGCTTCTAAACTGTTGTGTTCTGAGCATCTCTGCAAAAACAGTGATTATGTGTGAGTGAGGTGAAAGTGTTGAATGATGATGAAAGTATTTTCTTTTTGGGGATTTTCTTTCTTTTTGGGTCACCCTGCCTTGGTGGGAGACAGCCGACTTGTTGAAAAAAAAAAAAAAGATAGGGAGATAACCTTTATTGATAGTAATAGTGTAACTATACAATATTTTATAAATGCCGTGAGCTTGAACGTCCCTACGTCATGGTGAAGCATGAGTTACTGTGAGATACTGCACATGGACTTCTCCCTCTCGTAGACCCGCACACCCTCCAATACCTCTCCATATATGTCAGTTTTTATTAAATTTTGGGCATCTTTATCACGCTTCGATGTTATTTATTGTTATACCTAATAATTCTGGAATAAATGTTTTTATTTATTATTAATTTGGACATGTTTCATAATGTGCAAAGAAATACAGTGGTTAAGTGTAACATGCCAAAAGCCCCTTGTATGCAGAGCATTATGGGCAGATATGGGTAAATAACCTTCATTGATAGTACAGTGGACCCCCGGTTTTAAAGGCCCGGGGTGGAAATGACCAGTTTGGAAATCAGGCACTTTTTTTGGCGAAATTTCCCCCTGGATTTCATTGATCCCCTCCGAAATGGTATGAGACACATCCACCAGGCCCCCCAGATGTACTACCTTGTGGGTATCACCCGTCAGTCTCTCACTTTCTCTCTCATTTCCCAAAAGGAGTACTTTCCCCACCTTCATCCATTGTTTTTTGTGCTTTCTTCATTGTCTTTGTGCT